CCCCAAAACCCCAAAACCCCAAAACCCCAAAACCCCAAAACCCCAGAGGGTGTAAATAAGTTGGAAATTATTAGTATATAAATTAAAGTAAAATGACTTAGCCTCTCACCATCGTCTTGAGCTTCATTTTCTTAGTCAATCCACCTGTATTCCCTTGTGAAAATGAGAATATCCTGTTGCGGCCCTCTGGAGAAGTTACTATTGTTTTCCTAGACTTCTTAGTGATTTTGGATTTGGTTTTATCTAAATAAGGTTAAGTGGACTCAGGCTGAAATCCTACTCTGATTCAATCTCTCCCTTAGAATGGGTGAAGCAATGTTGTTCCTGATGTTGAATTTGATCTTATTAAGCTTGATCTTCCTTTCCCTCTTAAAAGCCTTAGATTTGGTCCTTTTGTTACGGAAAAATTTCATGTCTGTAGTTGGGATTTTCTTGTTAAGAACTCTGTTAGCAGTCCTGTTAACCTTATTTAGACTCCTCGGATTCCATACTGGACTCTGAGACTTCTGATACTTTATCAGAATACTTTTCTCTTTCTGCTCTTGGGTCACTTAAGATTCTTGATCTCTACATAAGTTATACGGGATTCTTACAGCTTCGCCTTTTGGCTTAATGTTTGAATTAGCTCGAAATGTCTAAAGAGTATTAAAATCTTGATGAAATTTTGCATACCACTCCTCTAAAACCAAGTTTCCCCTTGATCTCTGAGAATCTGACTTTTGGCTCCGGAGAGATACATGAACCATTTCTGTAAATTTGAGCGCTGTTTCTAGAAATTAGAGAGATGAGCTCACCCCATTTTTAGGTTGGTCTCGTACAGCTGAGTATTTTTCCTGAATTGTTTCTGGAATTCAGTCTTTACATTCGGTTGCTAGAGGTTAATAATGCAAAGTACGGGTGACTTCATTCTCTTCGGGGCAAATTGCTTCTCCAGATCTTTTCTGTGATTTGTGAACTTATTATTCATCTTCCTGATGATGAGACTCAAAGACTTACAAAACTTCGAATTTCATCTTGATGATATCCTTTTCTTTCTCAGTAGGTTCTCGATAAACTGGGCTAATAGCTCTCATCAGGTTACTGGAGTCCATCCCATAGAGTGCTGGGTTGAGCTTCTTGAGCTCCTTTGGCAACAACGACTGCTTGTAGAATTGGTCGAAGTCTAACGAAATAAAGGGTGAGCTTACCTTTGCTCTCAAGTATCTCTCTTCTGTTCTTCGTATCAGTCATATTAACGTTCAGAATCCCCATTCTACTTTTAGGCTTTGGAGCTAATTTAGGACCTATAGTTTTACAGAAATAGAGTACTTGGTACAACACTCTTCTTTCCTACTGTCTGGTTTGTTTCTAATGTGCCTAATAAAATCGAAGTTTGAGGCCTCCGACTTGCCCTACTCGGAGGTGAGAGAGTGGGCAATTGAGTTTCTTCTTGCAAATTCCAAATTTTCGAAGGTTTAGGTGAGAAATTGTTAATTTTCAACGATTTTGGGATAGCTTTTTCTTTAGTTCTTTTCCCTCTCATTTCGGATCTCCTTGCATTGTTGCTATTATTGACAAGCAATTTCTATGTAAGAAAAATTAATCCCAGCTTTGAGTCTTAGTGAAGTTATACACCGAAATTTGAAATCAGATTTTCAAAAGAAACTTTATAATCAAAAGAAGAAACTAAGGATTAATAATATTAAGTAGACTTACCAGGTTATTCAGGTTATCTTTTTGATTTTCTTCTTTTATAACCTATAAAGTGTGTTAATCCCAATATTTTATTTGCCTCCTACTAAGGAGAGGTTTCATACCTCTCATATTCCTCTTTGGTCATTCCATGCTCTGGAAGGAAACTGTTGCCAGAGGTAAAGACCATCTTGTTAATATCTTCTTTTAATTTTTGTCATCCAAGCTTCATCTGCTCAATCGGGTTTATTGGAACATTATTCATTGGAGGAGAATGATGTATTCTGTAGAAATTAATTAGTGGTTCTATTAAGAAATTTTCGAAATTTTGAACTCTAAAATATTAATATTGAAAAAATGAGTATTTAAATATATACTCATCACTCTTCTTCTGAATTGATTATTGTTCCGAAAATTTTTAGACAGATTACTTCATTCTTGGATATACTACGATCAAAATACAGTTCTGGATAAAACTTCCCAGCCGGTTATGACCAACTCTGAGGAATGGAAAACCTGCCTGAACAGTTTTAGTAAGTTTTAGACTGTACAATTTTAAACTCAGCACTTATTTAATCAGTGGGACGCATGAAGGAAAACATGAACCTGGGAATTATAAGTAACTTCTGTAAGTTTAAATTGGCATCCAATCCCTACGATATTTTCGAAAATAAAATTTGGCATACTAATAGTGTTTGCGAGGTGATAATTTTTGGTCCAATTTTCTTTTGAAATACCACTAATCGTCAACTCTCCGTAGTTTTTAGAGTTTAATATTATCAAATTTCGATATAGATGCGATCAAGGTGACCCAAATTATGCTGTAACCTGAGGTTTTGTTCTAAGCATGCCCATAAGGTATGCTGCTGCCATAAGAAGGAATGCAAGAATTGGTTTACTTACATAAGAGGAACATCCTGGATATCAATATTGTATAGGTTGAGTTCATCTGAAGATCTCATTTCCTTACTGTCCTGTCTTTGCATCTTAATATTAATTATTCAATATTATTTCTTAATTTGGGGTTTTGGGGTTTTGGGGTTTTGGGGTTTTGGGG